TTCGACGAAATTAGCTCACACGCGATTCAACGGTCTCCTTTAAACGCGGAACTAGATAACTTAAGTTAAACAGGAACATGAAAATGCAAATTTGTTTTTGCCCACTTCCTTACCTTTCAGAGTGATTGCTGAAACGGGTTCACCAAACCTCTTTGTTAAAGGGGTTTGGTTACGCTGTAAGAATACCTCAGAACCTCTGTGTTCTATATATTTGAAGAAATTAAATAGCTACGTGGGTGAGAAATTTTGCAAGAATTCGAATTCGGTTTCGAAACTTTCTTAATTTGAGAGTAAAATGCGAGTTTGAGTGTTTTTGCGGTTACCAAAACAATACATCAGATGTAAAAGTATTTGAGGGCATAACAAAAGAAAGCTAGTTATCTATGATACCTTTATTTTATAACTTATCGACAGGTGATCAAATGTGTTGTATCACTTTAATTCACTTGGTCAAATTACTGAAAAGCTTAGCTGGGTGAACGTAACTCCGATCTAGATTGTGGCGGTTGTCAGCATGAACACAATCGATTTTCGTGAAAAATAGACCTCGATAAACATCAAACAACATAATCCGGCCCTGTTGTTTAAATGCAGTGAGAATTGCAGTGAGAATTGTCTGATGTAAAAATCAAATTGTGTCTTGGAATAGGCAAACATAACCTGAGTAACTCAAATCCAATTTAGCCGTAAAAGATTTGTGCACAAATTGGCCACACAACCGTCGATCACAACAACCTAATTTTAATAAGGTCGTAGTAGTGGCAAGTATGATAAATGTTGTAAGAAATAGACAGTTTTTGAGAGACATGTTTCGGCATGCTTATGCCATCTTCAATCAATGAGCATATAATTATATAATTACTCACGTTCTGTTACTCATTGATTGAAGATGGCATAAGCATGCCGAAACATGTCTCTCAAAAATCTTGTCCATTTCTTACAAAAGCTAATTTTAGTGTCTAATCATATGAGGCTTGATCGGTAAAACTTCCGATGTTGGCAAAAGTTACTACCATTAAAGACAAAAGACTCAGTGGAGCGAATCTGCCCTTTTGAACTCGTTTCAGCTCTTTAGTAAATATTATTGATTGCGTAGGGGGTTCTAGACTCCATCTATTCTCTGATTGTGTTTGATGAAAACAATCTCCAAGAGTTGATTAAAGAAAACTATCGATTATGTCCCTGCTGGCTATCAGTAAATGGTCGTAGAAGCCGTTTTATTTGCTACTAAGGATCCCCCACGATGCTTCAGGAAATAAATATTGCTGAGTGTTGAAATCGAAAGCATCAAGGATCCATAAGACAGGGAAACAACTTCTTTGAAGCGAAAACATATTCAAAGATACTGCAAATATGGCAGACATTCATCTCTGATATAGTTGTGTGGATGCATGTGATGTGATTTCCCGTTCAATGCCAACCAAAACGGATTGCTTCGGTTACAAAAGTCGTCGCGGTTAAGCTTGAATATTACTATGATATAACTGAGTTTATAAGCGGTGTAGTTATTAAATTCAGGTTTATTCTTCTTGACTAGACTTCGACAAATACAAAAACCTTCAATCACTTTGGTTTAAAAGAAAAATGAATGATTTCCTAGAATACCTTTTAGCATGATCGAGGTAGTGGTGTTGCCCTGGGATGTCGTTTTGTTTGCGGCGTTTTGTAATCATGGGAGCGGTTTCACAAGCTCTGCCGACTACGCTTCAGTGAACAAACATGATTTTAGTTATGCGAGAGAAGCACAGTCATCTTTTAAAAATTTGGTTTGGAACCTTTCTCCATTACCTAATGTCAAAGTTATGAGTGAAATTTTTCTTAGATTTATCAAAAGTGTGGTTAGGGCATGCCCAGCTCGAGTCCACTTTTAGCCGTAAAAGGATTTGGGCGCCGCGGAAATGGCAAAAAGCAGGTCAAAACAAGCTAATTCATGGGTCTAAATATAGGAAGCCGCTATTTTCTACGTGATCGGCAAAACTTCCCTTGTTGCTTAAACAGTGGTAGAAGTGATTTGTTTTAAGTCTATTTCCGACGCACAAAAATGCAAACTTTCTTTCATCACTGCGATTCTGCTAAAGTTTTGCTGACGAGATACGAGAGATAATTCGCTTTTCAATGGTTCTCATCCTATTTATGCAGCCTGAAAGAATCCGTAAGACAGGGAAACAACTTCTTTGAAGGGAGAACTTATTCAAATGAACTGTAAATATGTCAGACATTTAGCTACGGTTTTAGTTGCATGGATACTACGTGATTTCGCGTTGAACACCTTGAAGGTAGAGTTTTCAATTATTCTTGTTAAACAACCAAAGATTAGTGATTCGGTTACAATATTGATCGTTTTCACTGTTATGCATCGAGAGAGAGCTGTTGGTTGGATAAGTTGGCGAATTGCAATGTTATAGGAGATTGGTTAAGGAAACACATCTTCGGCTATCTATCCCGATGATCAACAAAACTGAATGATGTTAGTTATGTGAGAGAAGCACGTTATCTTTACAAGATTTGGTGTAGACCCTTTCTCTATTACCTAACTTCAAAGGTATGAATAAAATGTTTCTTAAATTTATCAAAGGTTTCCTTGGGCAGCTTAAGTCCACTTAGGCCGTAAAGGATTTGGGCGCCGCAGAAAGGGCACAACAATAGGCTACAACAATCTGACTGATAGGTCTAATTACAGGAAGCCGCCACTTTCTTTTCTGCCATTTGATCGACATAACTTCCTTTGTTGCTTCAACGGTGGTAAAAACAAAGACGCAGTAAAGACAAAGACGAATAAAACTTGGTATATGTAGCGGAAATATTTCATTGCAATGAAAATCTCGAACAAGTGTTGCAATCAAGACAGGCCGGCAACCTTAGGAGGTTTCGGAGGACTTCAACAACTCCCAACAGCGAGAAATAATTTCACCAACAAAGTAAATAATGCTAATTTAAGTTCGGACCCCTTTAAATGCTGGATCACAAAAATCTGGAACTACTGAATGCTGGGATGCCGGAATGACGGAATGATGGAATATGACCCCAAATACTAAAATCTGGAACGAAGGAATGCCAGAATGCCGGAATGACGGAATGACGGAATATGACCCAAACCTAAAGCCCGGAACGGATGTCAAGACGTGTTGCACGAAGTTTGTACAAAGACATTCAAGCACTCGGCTCATTCATCCCCGAGACGATAACTCACGTGACTAAAACTAAGTGTTGATTTTTTTTTCCTTTACTGAGTGTTATGAATAATTATCAACCATTATACATTTTTCCCTTAGAAAATACTCATTTTTAGGAATTAAAAGAAGATGGAGCGAGATCAGAATTAGATTCTCCCGTTCGGGTTTTAGGGTCGCCCTGAAAGGAGAGACCCTAAAACCAGGAACGATGGAATACCAGAATGCCGCAATGACGGAATGACGGAATATGACCCAAATCCTAAAACCCGGAACGGATGTCAGGACATGTTGCACGAAGTTTGCACTAAGACATTCAAGCACTTGGCTCATTCCTCCCCCAAGACTATAACGCACGTTACTAAAAGTAAGTGTTGGCTTTTTTTTCCCTTTACTGAGTGTTACGAATAAGTATGAACATTATACATGAAAGGTAGCTGTGTTGTAAATCTTTTTATTTATCTTTTGTTGTGCTAAATTTGCCATGAGTTTTAGTCGCGGCATAAGAAGTCGCGCAGCATGTGAAAACGAACTTGACCTACCACGTTGCAATAAACAATTGGAACATACGTTTCGTGGTCACGTATGCATGATTTCAATGAAGCATATGCTTGTAAGCGTGAGAAAATCACGGGAACCTTTCCGCGCTTCTCAAAATATAACGACGTTCAGCCACAGCTCCAAACTTAGACTAGCGTAAGAGCAAGCCCTAGTTGCGAGCCCTTTAATAAGAGCTTTTCTTCGTCCACGAATACATTTTAGACCTCGCGAATACATTTTTAACACTAGCTGAAGAGAGGTTGCATGGGGTCATCGGGTGGGAATTTCTCGTTGCGTTAAAAGACAAAAGGAAGCTAGCAGAAGGAAGCCGTCCAGAAGAATTTCAAGAATTCCTTTTTTACCAGGTGTCCAAAACACCACCATCCTCCTATGAAATGCTCGGCTCACAGATCAGCGAAAGAAACAGACTTTACGAACAAATAGAGGCTACGTCACCAATTCGTTTAGTGGATTTCCTCTTTTCCTCAGCAAATTGCAAATCTTCAACTCTCTAGCGTTTTTAAAAATTGGCCTTCCAAGAGAAATGTAATCCTTTGTCTTTTCACGCCACGATAACTTCCCACACGCCTGATAACTTCCCACACATGCATAGTTTCGTGTTTTCCTCCCACTAGTAGCGAACAATCAGATTTTTAGATTGTACATCGTGTAACGCTTACAATATATTAAAACTTGACATTCGGCTGCCGTTCGCCCGCACGGAATTTATTTACTCAGTCACACAAAAAATCTCGTATTTAGATGGTTCTTTTAATTCTAGCATTTCCACGCAGCAGATGATCTCAAGCCTACTTTCTTACCACAGAAGTAGAAGCCGACGACAATGAAAACGTTTAACTTTCGAAACATCGTTGCCATCGATACGCGTGACAGCTAGCAAGACAGAATAGAATTTATGATCGGGCTCTAACTGATTTGTTAACAAGATAATTTGGTTTTATCAACTGAGTAGATAATGTAAATTGGCCACCGTAAAGAGTTTCTAAGCTGATGTTTCGAGCATTAGCCCTTCGTCAAATCAAAGGACAGAGGGTTAAAGCTCAAAATGTCAGCTTGGGAACTCTCTACGGTGGTCAGTTTACAGTATCTACTCAGATACAATGAATATATGAAGTTCCTATATTTTGAACTGCGGTATTAGATACTTATGATGCACGATCCTCGCATTGTATCTGAATTATCATCACGGGTTTATTACGAATCAACTTTACGGCCTGCTCCCAGTTGGCTTGTTAGATCAATTGGTAGAGCGCTGCACTAGTATCGCAG